TTGAAATCACTCGAGATCCAAAGTCCTCAAATTAATATCATTAGAGCTCAAGCCATATTTGTCTTACAAAGCAGAGATAAAGTGTTTTGTAGATCATAACAAATAAGTTATTAGATATAGATCTAGCTGTTATGTGATAGTGTAATAGAAAAATAACTTCGAGTGGGAAGCTACTAAAGAAATCAAGGTCTCTTTGTGAAAGAATTACTCAATGCTTTTCGAGAATTAGCATGTGTCAAGTTTCGAGGACGAAGCCTTTAGGAGGGGAGAGTGTAGTAACCCCAAACAAGTACACAATTGAATTCCTCTCAAGAAGAGCAACATATAGGAATCACAAATTTCAAGGGAGGGGTTTGCTAAATATATCAACTCTTAAGTTGGGTTGCTGTCATACCTCAATGACTTTGATGGTCTTGGATCATTAGAGAAAAGAATCAGCACCTCCTCATAAGGAGGAGAAGAACAGGGATAATTACCTAAAATCTAAAAATAATAATAACTTCATCCTCCGCCCAATATTTTTTTGCTGGAAACATGAAAGAGGACGGAGAGAAGGGCAAATGAAGGAGAAAAAAGAGAATCAAGTTAAAAATACCAACTCAATCCAAGGTACAACTCGTTCCCAATTTGCAAGTTTATTTCTAGTAATTTGAATCCAAGTGGATGATGGAAGGCAGATTGTTATTAAAAATCCTAGATCTAGTAAGGACCTCGCCATCAGCCTCCCTTGATCGCTAGCGAGTCCCCGCTGTTAGGAGACCATCTCAGCGACTTAAATAGACAACTTGGGTGTTGCCTATGAGATGTGTTGAGAAGGAGAAAAAAAGAGAAAAAAAAAGAAAAAAATGAAAGAAAGAGGAAGAAGAGAACGAAGTTCGAGTTGTGAAATAAGGGGAGGAAAACTTTACATAAATCCTTGGGTTTTTTGAAGTTTAATAATTACTCCAAATTGATTTAGCATGTGGTAATTAAACGATTAACATATCCTAGACACCCTAAAGTTCCCTGAATTGTGAATAAGTCTAATCAAAGTAAACAAGGTCATAAACTAAAGGGAAAATTTTAGTTCAGATCTCTGTTATTTCGAATGTTTGCAATCAGGCCCAGAATGAATAATATGAGGCCACGTTTGGGCTAATTATCAATAGCCCCTTGCTCTTAACATAATTTGTTAATAGGTTCTAACATTATTAAATGAGTGTTATAAAAATTATGATAAGTTGTCAAAATTGGTGATAAGCCAATGTGAATCCTTTTTATGGGTCTTAATCACTATTTGGATCTATTTGGACCTAAAATGATTGACCCAGAATATATAAGTCCAACTTGCATTGGTATTGACCTTATGATTTTATACTATACGATCTGGTTCATATCGATGGTGGTCAAATTGGGACACTCGGATGGTAAAATGTGAGTTTATTTCTCACTAGTATTTTTATAATATAAATCACATATTATATTTGATTGATTTTGTGCTCGAGAAATAATTATTTTATTATTTTCATGTATATAAAATGAAATGTGATTTGACCTATACTATAGTAACCTATTCCAATAATATGGTTTTCATTTCATATGAGATATGAAAAGTAAACTTTGACTTCATAGAAAATGTGATGAGTGATTTGGTTTTCATGCAATCTCAAAAAAATATGAAAATCGCTTTATTGAAAATCTATTGAAGAAAAAAGTATTTTAAATGTGTTTCAATAGTTTGATGGATTCAAGAGATTTTCGTGATCTGGTAATTGAAATAAATAAATAAGAATTTCACAAACGGTTTCTTTTAATATGATGGGATTTACCTCATCCATTTGATTTAAAAGTGTTTATGATTTGGACAAAGAGATCAAGTTTATACCAAATATTATTTTGGAAATAGTGATGTGTTTTTGACATAAAGCGGTTGACAAATGGTATCAAAATAGTTAGCGTAGTCTGAAGTGTGGAGCTAAGTGCTAAGCGGAACTAAGTCCGCATTGCCAGTGTAAAGCTAAATGCTATCCAGGACTAAGTGCTATATTGCGTGATCACGATGAGAGCCACCCCTAGAAACTCGTAGAAGTCACCTCTAGAATCCACATTACATTGCAAAGATTTTTTATGTTTAAATGACCCTCAAAGGTCCATTATGAAGTGATGTAGTTGTGTCTGCCCTTCTTGGGCATATGTGATGTGGTCGATAACTCATGGCAGTGTTAGGTGCATTATATTCTCAGGAAGGTGTTACGTAACGCGTTTTATGTATTCTCATGTTACACGATTATACTTCGTAGCCTTAAGAGTATGTTTGGCAACCTTTACAAAACTGCGCGAGAATCAATCCTGACCTAGTTTTATTCTTGACAGCTAAGATTTGATTTCGTGGTTCAGACAACATTTCAACTTGCATATAAGAAAGAATTTTAAATTATAGTATTCCTTTCTTGAAAATATAAGCGACGAGTCTTTCCATGCAAAATTATGTCATTTCAGCACTAGTATAAAACTAATAATTCACCTATTTTTGAGAATTATTATTTCGTTAAGTATCTACAAAACCAAGTAGGAAATGTAACACTAGCTTTAACTCATCTCGTTGTTTTAAAAAAAAATTAGTTTCCTCATAGCTTCATGTAAAGGCTGGCTTTTGGAATGAGGATTTGGCGCAAAGATGTTATATAGCCCAACGGCCTATTTGGGTTAGGTAAATGCTTATACTGGTGAGCTTTCAGATTGTATGTATTTGTTGAAAATATAGTTGCTCTGTACTTCTATTCTCAACGAGTTACATATTTTAGTGAAGAAGCTATGTCATATAAAGTGTCAGGCTTGACACGTGCGTGAGACTTTTCCTGTGCACGAGTCGCTACTGTCACGTACCCCGTATCTATCTTTCGCTGTTATTTTCAAGGCGTGATAGTTGGATAATGCAGTTAATGTTAGGTTTCATATGGGACGAGCTGGAATTTGTTTACTAATGTTTAAGTACAAGTTGAAATGTAAAGTCATTAATAGTTCTCAACTGATGACCAATAAAACAACCAGAAATTTTATTATGAAGAACTTTATCAACCAATTTAAATATCTCCAATCATTCAAGAAATGAAATAAGAGAAACAGGCATTGTGATACTGAGATGAGTAGTTGCAATAATTATTTATACTTTTAGTGGAGACCAGCAGCACCATCAAATTAAACTCAGTACCAACTTCCATTAACTTTTCATCGAGTTTCATGTAGGTTCCGGTTTTAAACAATCGATGCCAATACAAATTGAGTTCAAGATGGGTTTCAATTTTCTCTGTCCATACTGGAACTATATTGCAAATAGAAGCACTAAACTTGCGTAACAGTAGATTCAAGGCCAGTTCGGGTACAAATCTGTTCATATTTGCAGCTTTAAATTAACGATATGTAACATAAGATAGGAGGCAGAGGATCATATAGAATTTATTGCACATGCTATGCATGTGGTATTTACAAAACAAAAGGGTTTCCACTTGTATACTCCTAGTTTTTAGTATTTTAAATAGGGTTATTTTTCAAAACAAACCCCTAAACTTTGCACATAACCCCCTTGAGCTTCTTTTATTCCATTAAACCCGTTGAGAAATAAAAAATGCAAAGATATTATTCTATCCAACCCTAACCTCTCTTTAAATAAAAATCAGGAGAATATTAAAAAAAAATCTGATAAGAAATAAATCCATATCTAATAATATCTCACAATATCTGATAATATCTACTAATATCTCAATACTAATAATGTATAATGTTTCCTCTCAAGCTAGAACATATAAACTATATATGTGCAACTTGTTACAAATGCAAATAAAACTCCTAGTTGCAAGAGCTTTAGTAATGTCATTTTTGTACAAAACACTTGAAGATGTTAACAAAAAAGTGTAGTCAAAGGCAGAAGAAACCCTATGTAGATCACTCAAAAGATGGGTAAGGCAGTAGAAACCCTATGGCCAATAGAAATTCTAGGCGGGTAAGCCAATAGAAACCCTAGGTGGACAAAACAATAAAACCCCTAGGCGGGTGCCAAAAGAAACAATGCTAAAATCAAACGCTTTTTGCATCCATTGTATAGATTTTTCTTAGGTTAGGGTTTTTTATCAAAGTTCAAAAAGGTTCTAGGGATCGAACGACGTAAAAACTAAAGATGTAGTCAAAGCCGAAGTTGCCGAAGTTGCCAAAGGGAAGCATGAAGGTGGTGTTTGCAAAACAAAAAAAAATTCTCGATGGCCCCAAGATCTTAAAAGAGGCAAAAAAGTTCCCTAGGATCGAAAGGTAAGCTCTGATACCATATACAGAAATAGAAAAGGCGAAAATATTATTCAATCTAACCCTAAACTCTATTAAATATAGATTAGGAGGATGTTACAAAAATAGGTATGAGATAAAATCATATTTAATCACATCTCATAATATCTCATAATATCTACTAATATCCCAATACTAATAATATCTAACAAAATGCCTTGATCATTCACTTCCCATATTAACACCATTAAGTCTAACATGTCACGTGCAAAGTGTGTGACTAGAAAAGACAAAAGTAGCCATCAACCTCAAAACATCAACCTTTTATTTCCATTATTTATTACTACTAAGGGGTATTTTTCAATTTTCTGCTAATTTGGTTTGCACGTAACATGTCAGACTTGATGGTTTCACTTAGTAGGTTAAACTAAAAAATCTTCGATGGGTTTTGTGCAGTAAAAGAAGTTCCAAGGGTTATGAACAAAACTTCCTCAAAGTTCACAAGGGGCCAATAGAATTAAGACATTTAACGGGACTCGTCTACAAGACAACCCAAAGTATGAGGGATTTACCCTAAACTTCATATTTATCAATTTTTGGTTAACAATTTTCAACATTCAAAAAGTCAAGAGGAATTTATTAGGAAGTACATAGAAAAAAAAACTTTTAGAGCTGATAAAGAGTATGATTTATGTTAAGACCTGCATGCAAAAGGTAAGTTACAGAAAAAAAGCGACTGAACTAACCAATTTCCAAGGCGGGTTATTTTGGCTGATGGAAACTTGAATTTTAATGCCAGAGGAACATTTCCGGAGAAGGCTGGCAAAACTGCTAGCAACAAAACAACAGTAAGAAAAAAATTGAATAGAAAAATGAGCCTCAGCAGTTAATTAGGTGGTAAGTTTCACTTAACCCCTTGAACTATGGGGTGAGTTGCACATAAACACCCGTCTCACTTAACCTCTCAAGATTAACACTGTGAACTTTTAGTCGGTGTGAATTTTAAGAGGATGAAAATACCCCTAAACTTATTATAAATTACCACATTGTCATTTTTTTATTTTTGGGGTTAAAATCTCCACCCTCTCTTATTAAATCCATAATGCATACCTAAACGCGCTTAACTGAACCCTCCTCTCTCTACCATCGACGCCGGCGACTTTGATCTCTAGAGAAATTGATGTTTAAAGATATGGAGATGACTAGAGAGGATGAAGTGGTTTTTATTGAAGATGGCTCTCAAGAGAAATTAATGGAGGAAAATGGGTTGGCTTATTCTTCTTTGTTGTTTGATGATGATGACAACGATGGGTTAGCTGATGGGATTTTGGGTCACCACGGCTTGAGAAGAGGAATATGAGGGGAGGACGAAGTGGTGCCTTGAAAGGAGGTAGAGGCAATGGTTGGGTTTGAACTGATTTTGGAATTATTTGTTAATTGGGGAGAGGAAGGGGGGTTCTTTTGAAACTGAAATTGAGATTAAGGATTATTTTTAAAAAGGATATTTTGGTCAGTTCGCTATTATTCAGTAACACCTTCCGGGGGTCTGTTGAGAAAATGTCAAAGCTTAAGGGGGTTAAGTGATACACTCCAGAGTTCAAGGGGGTATGCGGAATAAATAAAGATGAGGTGGGTTATGTGCAACACCACCCCCCCCCCTATAGTTTCCCTATAGTTGAGGGGGATTAAATGAAATTTAGCCTTAATTAGGACACACCACTGTAGCAATGTTTTCAACAGATGCCTATAGCAAAAAAGAAAAACAATGTTTATATATCTTTATTTACTAGTTTTTATACACGTGCAATACACGTGGTTAAATACCAAGATTAAGCATTTTTGGCTTATTTCCTAACTAAAATTTGTTCCGTTCCAAAATTAAAGTATTTTTGGCTTATTTCCTAACTAAAATTTGTTCCGTTCCACTTTAACAGTTTTTGCTCACTTTAGAAAGCTAATTGACTCTCACTCGAAAGTCCAGTTATAATGGAATTTATTATATTGTTCCCTTGAATGTAGATTTTGTAAAATTACAGTTAAACCTATAAGTTGTTTTCAACTTTCAAGAAAATAATACAGTAGCAAATATTGATGAAAATAACAAGTGACACGTACCTACTGAATAAAGAGAAATATGTCATGGGATCAATTAATATGGTCTTTACAAACTATCTTTTCTCATCCAGCATTCAATTTTCTCTCCTTTAGTCTCCCTGTCAATTATCTTCTATTCCTTTATATCTTTTCTATTCATTTCCTTCTCGGGTGTTGACAAACAGTGAAACAATATAACTATAAGATAAATGGTTCTCCCTAAAAAAAATAATAGAGGCAGAGGGAGAGAGATGCTCAGCTATAGGTACATTCCAAATTATTACCTGGAAACATTCCAAATTCATACATCCTATCAAGAATTTTCTTTTGAAGAACAAGCTGACCATCAAGCCAACTTTGAGGAAGTGGTCCACCCCATCTGTCAATAAAATGAGATACTTGTATAATAGTGTTCTTATAAAAAAAAACACAATCTACCAACAAGAACAAAAAAAAATATCATATACATGGAAAAATAACTTAAAATTTATAACATTAGCAAATCTGATTGATGTGAAACAACTTTTGAGTAGGAAAAAACTAGTTGGAACGGAACAATACTCCAAAAGTAATGAAATATTTAATGACATCAATATCAGGTATGTCACGAAAAGAAGAGCTTATCCCAAATTACTAAAAAATAGTATAAAAAAGAAGGTACTCCCCGATAACAAAATAATTTTACACAATATTACTTGAAAGGAAACATTAACATTGTATCCGTTATGTCTCGTCTGGTACATGGGAATTAAGTCAAACGAGAATGGAATGGAGCAGGAAAGAAATGAAATGTGGGAATGGAATCCTCATTCTCACCCTCGTGTCTGGGTGTCATTAGGGAATCAGCGCATTTTTGGACTTTTTTTTAACACTCTCACGTAAAGGAGAATGCTCATTCCTTAAGAACTCAAAGGGAATGTTGATTCCCACAAAATGTAGGAATGTCCATTCCTAGGAAACGACCATTTCAACTTCAAAAACATGTGTTTACTACGCTTGAACAGGAAGTGGGAATGGGTTTTTAATTTTAAGAAAACCCAGATATGAAACTGATACTTAAAATATAAAGTCAAATTAAAGTCAATTTACAAATGTAAAAAGCAACTTGTTTTGCACTATTATTTCAAACCAATGAGGAATAACACTAATATGATAGTACAGTTCAACAGCCTTACATATGATCATTGATCATCCTAATGAATCATAAGTATAATGTTGCATTGCAACCCCAAAGTAATTAAAGTAATAATGTAAACACATCAAGAGGGGTCAGTTATGGAAATAGAAAGAGAAACACAGCGATGGTTGCAACCTACAAGTTATCAAAAATATTATTTTAGATACTGTACTGGGATTCTTACTTTAATGATGTTTCCAATGTCAGAAACATACTTGTTATTGAAATTTTGAGCTATTTCAGCTTTTAAACAGCTTTAGCTATTTGCTATGACAATTCCTCATGTAAATTGGCTAGTTGGGTTCATTAGCTTTAGTTTGGTAAGTATGAAGTTGCAGGGTGATAGTAAACAAGCTTCTAGTACTGCAACTATTTTTTAATATCATCAATTATTAGAAAGCTTGAAGAATTTGTAAAAAAAATAGAAGTGAAGAAACTTTCTGCAGTATATAAGCTTACGGTAGAGGAATTGAGAATCCCTATACAATGAAAAACACAGAGTGATCAAAATGAACAATCGAGTAAGACCTCTTGAGCATAGATACAAGCTAAGCATTGGTGGAGCTTTCAAGGGGAGTATCTAAATCCTCAGAGGAGGTATGAGTTCTTTGCAATAGCATAAGCCATCGTTCATTTGTTGTAGCAAACTGTTATGGGGTAGTTGCATATTCACAAGCAGAATGCAGTGCTTTGCAGTGATTAATTATAGAAATGGACAACATGTTGCTTACAAATATTGCCAAAGAAAGGCCGAATAATTCCAACTCTATGAACGAGATAAGGACGTTAACCACACATCTAAGATAAATCTTACTTACATAATAAAATTTGAACATATTGAAATCAGTTGGCATGAAATCAGTAGCTATCAGTCCGAACAGTATTCAACGGATATAGCTCATCAAAAAGAGGGAAAAAATATAGTTACCAACTCACCCATGCAAGTTTCCCATCCGTGCCCATGCAAGAAAAGCAGGCCCGCCAAAAAAATCAGCTAACTCATCACCACTAATATTAAACCTCTGAAAGAGAAATAAACCATTCTTCAGTGCAAGAAAGGTAGATGTCTAGGCATTGACGAATGGTCTGAAGAAATGAGAATAAACATATAACAAATTGATTTACTGGTAACAGAAGTATAATTTAAATTAATACCCAACAACAGTTAAATGGAATGATTTGAAATAGGATTCCCAAACACCACATTCTGAGAAACTTCACTTGGGAATGTAAATTAGTATGCTAGCTTTGTATCATTAATTTCACAATGCCGCAATAGGAAAACCTACAACGAGAAGGACAAAGACTTAATCCCAATTTCTTGTGTTCGGTCACATGAATCCTAATTCTTCATTTAGTTCTTTAAGGGTTCCTCCATTAAGTTTAACCAGTACATGTCCTAATTAAACGATTCCAGCCAGGCTCTCTTACGCCTAGTTTTAGTCCTCATTGCTTCTTTAATTATAACCTTATAACTTTTTCCTAATTAGTGCATTTAGAGGCCTTCTTTGTACATAATCAAACCATCTCGGTTGCTTCTCTAGAGGGGGAAATAATGCTTTAGTGAACAAAGTGTAGTATCTACTGCATCTCTAGTTCAAAATCAGCCAAGAAAATTAAAAAAGAGAAACACCTGAAAAACTTTCTGCCAGATGGCCTCTTGACCATTGAATGCAAGAGGCAAGTTGATACCTTGAAGAGCCATCCAGTCAATCTCCTTCTCCCATCTTTCCCAGCCCCACCATGCAAATGAATCTGAAATAGCATACGCACAAAAATCTGAACTGAATAGAGATAAGACAAAATACATGCATATCATACACATACATATATGATATTTCTTCCTTCTAAGGTTTTATGATTTCAGATGCAAGTTAACCATTATTCTACTAATTTCCTTTTTTTCGTTTATAGAAGTCAGAGAATTCATCAGAGGAATGTAACTTTTCTTTATTACAGAAAACTTCTGCTTCAGATCAGAAGAAGACACATTACCTGTGCCTGCGATACAGCTATTAATTAAGATTACACTACTGCAATTGTATAAATGTTTGTCACAGATTCATATATTTACTAATGTCCATGCTTCCATGCATGCCAAACACAGACATATGAGGGTCTATTTAATTGTAGGACAAGAAACGTTATGATCCCATTTTATCATGAAAGATCACATTAGAGTCATACAACTAAATGCAACAGCATGTATGTTTTGTTACTACAGAAAACTTCAGCATCAGACCAACAAAAAGAAGCATTACCTCATTCTATAGTATAGCATTACCTCATATGAGGGTTTATCTGTTCTCATACAGACAACAGATAAAGTCGACAACAGATAAAGTCAAAACAACCTATTTGGCCATGTGAAAGAAAAAAGATTCTATTAGAATCTTACAACTAGATGTGACAGCATTCTGGTAGTAGTTCCAAGGAACAGATCTCTGAATTAGAACACCATTATGATTGACAAACGGAAGAAACCCTGGTTCGGGAACCGTCGATAATTGCACACCACCAGTTTTTTCCCAAGATATATGTGCCTCACACCAGTGCTTTAAGTACCAATGCAAACCAGCTGAAAGCTCTACACCGGTCACCCCTTGAATTCTGGACATAAACAAAGAAGTAGAAAGTAATGATTACCCTTAACATTTGAAAACAAAGATATAAATTTAGCATATGAATAAGGTTCATATGAAAGATGATTGTGAGCAGACTACGAAAATTTAAGATGCAATTTTGTTAATTGTATTATTATAGCTTCTGCAAGAAGCAGGCAAGAAATTTCAAATGGCTGGTCTGATCCTCAAACAGCGACCCTTATCAAGTATATGATGGTGAAGGAAACTAGATCTGCATTTGCCAAGATTTGCAATGGGGGCCACCAAAGGATAAATACTTCATCCAATATAAGACGATCAAAGTGACAAAGGAGGTCGGGTTACAAAATGTGGCTCAAGTTATCATAATAGATAATGCATAGGTTTGTTGGTTGACGCAACTAGTTTAAAGTGTATATCCTCAAATATTTTGGAATCATGAGTCATGTATATTCTTAACATTGCACTTAAAAGGTGCAGAGAAAAATGTGGAAGCAAATAATGCGTATGAAGATTGCAATATGGATCACAGATATTTCACGGCATGCACAGCTTATGAAGAATTTCATCATGGACCATTCAGTGACATTCTCATTTTGTGATGTTTAAGAGGATTTCTCAAATCAAGATGTCTTGACCAATGTATGATAATTATTAAATACTGAAAATTGGAACTTGTATAAAGAGGATGATGCAGAGAATAAAGTATTTATATGAAAGGAAATATTAGATGAGATATATTAGGAAAACTTCCGAGTTACAAGTTATATCATCTTCTACGGAGACAATATACGAAAGGCTATGGATTGTTGATACTTGGCTATATCCCCTCGTTTCACTTAGTGTATGAGACTATGACAATGACGTATATTTAATTAGTGCCTCCTCTACCATAAATAAGCTTTTATGTTCTAACATTACAATTCATCTTTTTTAAGGCATTATTGTTGGAAGTTGCTTGAGGAGGGTTCAACTCATGTTCCACCCACCACTTAACGAAGTGTAGATTTCTAAAGAAAGTAACAAAATGTTTAAGGACTTATTTTTCAAATCATCTACAAAGGAAATCAATGAAAACCAAGGTTGCAAAGTTTTTGGAGAACGTAAATATGTGGATCAACATGTTGCGAATCCTCAGAAATGGCTGGTGGTACATGTAATCTTGCACCTACTCTGCTCTAGGAGAAATTTTAGCACGAATATTTATTCTATAAGGAGGAATTAAATAAATTTGCATCGTGTCAATTATCTTTATTATGTGCATAATAATGTCCTCTCTTATCAAGAAAACTCCACAATCAAGTAGCTTAAAATGGGGTTTTGTTGGAGATACACATGACTCCTGCATGAGGTAGAAGCACTTGAAATTGTGGAGCACTACCTTGATGATTGGATTTTGAGGAGGATATGTTTTCTCTTATAAAGAAATTTTATGATGATAACGAAGAGACTCGAATGGGATTGACAATGTGGAGGAAGCTAAGGATTGCTATGATATGTTGGTTTTCTTGACGTCTTTGTAAAAAGATGTACTATTTTTTTGCTGTCATTATTTGTTAAATAACTACGAGTAACATTTTGTATCCCATATATTGTTTCCAGAGGCCACGACCCACATCTTGTGTGTAATAAAAAAGAAAGTAACATTTTGGATCAGTTGTAACTACCTACGAAGTATCATGATAAATATTTGTTGGACTATTGTTATTTGTGGTTGATGAATTGAATAATACGAGCAAAATTGACCCAAGCAATGTTGCAACATTAGTACAAAAAGTTCAACTATGAGAGTGGAATGGTTTAAAAATAAATAGGGAAAATTTTTCAGGTTTAGGATGAAAAATTTACAAAGTTTTGGAGAAGCCGAGAATGAAACTAAACTTATTGCGCATGAACGATACCTATAGACTGTCCATCCCCAATTTTCTAGTAATGGGCTAATCTTTCTTCTAGTAATGATTCCCATATATTCATAATACTAAACTTACTGGGCAAGAACTATACCTAAACACTGTCTATCCCCAATTTTAGTATATAGTATGAATAACATTAGTATTGTATCTTTTCTCTATCTTGATTATACGATAAACATCTGCGTGTGTCTGAGTGAGTGTATTACTTTATCCAAGATGTGCCCATGTCCTACTCTTTTGGAAAATTTATATTATTGTTCCATCTGAATCATATCAATATTACGTGTTCGGGCTTTTCAATCGTTTATCGTAGAGACATAAATTGTATGCCATAAATACCAATGTTGATAGCAATTTCAAGCAAGTACCACAAAAAGAAAGTAAAGGTACAAGTGACACATTATGTATGTTAGGTAATTACTAATTAGAAAACAAAAACAAAGTCTTTGGAATTTTAGAAAAGGAAGCATACAAAATTTGTGGAGCTCCTTTATGACTGAACGAAGGATGGTTGTTGATTATGAAGCAGACTTCTCCACCACATCTTTCCTGGAATATAAATACAAAACCGTTGTTACCTCAAAGTTATAAAAAATAATAATACCCGTACATCGTAGTCTAGTGTGCAAGTTAAATGCTTTTCAAACAATGATCTAACAAGGTATAAGTACCCTGGAGACGATCTTGAAGTCGAAGCTGGAGAGATGGGACGGCAGGAGGCGGCGAAGGAGGAGCGCCCGTAGTCGGGCGGCCTCCAGCACGAGCAGGCGGGGCCCCCCCGTCATGAATCTCGAGGAGGCGAGTCAAGTGGGGAGAGGAATCGGTCGGGAATGATGCAGAGCAGAGCGGGAGAAGGAAGAGGAAGAGGAAGGAGAAGACGAAGAGAGCCATGAGAGGAGGAGGAGGAAGAAGGGGGAGACTGCAGTATAAAAACCATGGTGGTGGCTACTGGAGGGATTCTTGAGATAGAGAGAGTAGAGACAAAACTTACGGCCGGCCGAGAAAAGGAGAATGGAGAAGACGTCAGAGGAATCTGTTGGGTATCGGACAAATTTTCAAAACAAGCTTTTTGCAAATTTATTCCCAAAAACAACCCATTTCTCTTATTTGTAAAAACCGATCTGGTTTCAGCCTCAGCACTAAAATCAGGTTGGTTTTTACAAAAAAAAATAATCCGAAACTTCACGGGAGTTGAACTCCCGTGAAGTTTCACAGTTCAAAAAATTTATTTTTTGAACTAAGAAACTTCACGGGAGTTTAACTCTTATGAAGTTTTTGAACTTTTTTTGTAAAAACCGACCTGGTACAAAAAACCGACCTGGTTTCAACGCTAAGGCTGAAATCAGGTCGGTTTTTACAAATAAAAATTAAAGGGGTCGTTTTTTGGGAATAAAATTGCAAAAGGTATTGTTTTGAAAATTTGTCCGTTGGGTATCGGATCATCTGAAGGCCGAAGGTTGGTCTTCAAGGGCAAAAGGTTTTTATTTTCTTTCTTAGAAAAAAAATTTCTAAATAAACCCAATCCTAATTTTATTCTTAAATTTCGACCATATTCAAACTTTATTATAAAAATCAACCCACTTTCTCGTCACGTCAGCATCGTGGCTAGAAAGTACGTCAGCGTCTTGGTCAGAAAGTCGGTCACTTTTTTTTTAAACGCGATCCTAATTAGTCGGGGTTGGCAACCCCGACTATTTTGGACGTCATTGATGATTTGGCAACCTAATTAGTCGGGGTTCGAAACCCCGACTAATTTAGCACCTATTTTAATTGGTCGGGATTGGGAACCCTGACCATTTCGAAATGTCTAATTCAAAATGGTCGGGGTTTCTAACCCCGACCATTTAGCAGAGAGTGGCCACCCCCAGATCGAATAGGAAATTGGCTAAGGGACAGAATAGTCGGGGTTAGCAACCCCGACTACTTGTTCTGGGTCTCGCCCCCTATATAAACCAACCAAACCCTTCTCCCCCCAAACCCATCGTTCCCAGCCGCCTCCCTCTTCTCCAAAACTGCCGCTCTCTCATTTTGTTGCTATTGATCTCAATTTCAATCCCATTTTGCGGTCGAAATTCGCCGTGAATGATCTCTAGGGTAATTTATCTTCCTTCTCTCCTCTTTTAACATGTAAAAATCTAGGGCTTTCTTTCGAAATTGAATTTCTAAGGTTTGAACTCTATTTGTAGTGGTTTGAATGCTTTGTGTGTTGATTGTTGGAATTGAAACTAAACTTTTAGGGCATAAAATGCTCAATTCTAGGGTTTAAGATTTTTAATTTGGGGTTTAGGGTTTTTGGTCAAAATTATATGAGATTATTTGAATCTTGGATTTTTCAATTTGGGGTTTAGGGTTATAATTGATAATTTTTTTTAAATTTTTTGTATTTAAATGATATAATTTTCTTTTGCATAGGTTGAACAATATGATTTTTATTGCTTGATCTTATGGTGGAAAAATTGATTATGGAATGAATAATATGCCAATGTACGTCGGAGGGTTAACAACGTCATTAATGATCTTGGAATCATATAGTTATCGTGACTTGATTAATGAATTACACCAAGTTACGGGAATTGACCCACGAGAGTACCGACTAAAAATAATATGCAATTGGCCCATAACTTTTGATAGAACGTCCGTGTTTGGGTTAGAAATTGTTGTTTTTATTGTCATCGAATCTATTACAACTTCAGTCGTTACAATAAACTCAAATAAATAAAAAGTTGATCTTTTTATAAGATCCTCTTACACAATGAAAATATATAGATTACAATTCCTTCAAACAACACACAATAGCAGTTTATCTCCTGTTGCTTGCGTGGGAACTTTACCTGTGCAGGGGACGCATTAGTCCGTGGACCATCACGGATCAGATCCAGTTAACAGAAAAGTTATTCAAAGCTCTTACTTCACAAAGGAAGTAATCGCAGAAGTGATAATCTCGGCTAAGCGAGATTACGACTCTTCTAGAGATCAAAACCAAGTTTGATCCGGAGGAAAGGGGGTACGG